CATTGCGGCCACTGGAAGAGTGAATCAGTGGATGGAAGATCTTTCTGTCTCTCCTCTCTGTATATCTGATTTTCCAATAAAAATAAATAAACCTTAAAAAAATAATAATAGTTCTTTAAAAGAGAGAGAGAAAAAAAATCCTGCGACTTCAATGAGTTTCTTTTAGTTGTATTTACTTTTATTGAAAAGACAGGTTTACAGGGAGAGAGGAATAGAGAAAAGAGAGGGTCTTCCATCCACTGGCTCACTCCTCGAATGGCTGCAATGGCTGGAGCTGGGCCAGTCTGAAGCCAGGAACCAGAGGCTGCTTCCAGGTCTCTCACATGAATGCAGGGACCCAGTGACTTAGGCCATCTTTCTGCTGTCCAAGGACCAAGCAGAGAGCTGGATAGTAAGTAGAGCAGCCAGGACTCCAACCGACAGCTGTAGGCAATGCTGGCACTGCAGGAGGAGGCTTAACCTACTATGCTACATGGGAGGGATTTTTCTCAGGTGAGACATCAGCCTAGTCTCCAGGACCCGCCAGGAGCACACGGTCTATGGGACTGTGGGAGGCAACAGCACAGCCGGAGTCTGGTCCATCTCATGGTCAGGTGCAGCTGGGGCAAGCATGGGACCCACACACCCCAGGGCAGCTGGGGCTGGAATTGACTTTTTTCCTTTGTGCTATTTTTCCTGCTCTTCTGGGTGGCCTCACAATCCATTTGCCACAGGGAGAGCAGGGCGCCATTGTTCACCTGTTGTTCAGATGTGAAGGGGCTAAACCATGTGTCTCAAACCTCTGGGGCAATCGATCCTGGCTGGGACGCAGTGCTGATGGGGTTTGCTCCCCCAGACTTCCCTGCCTTGATCAGGTGCAGGGCTGCAGGTCCTTGGGCACAGCTTTGGGCAGTCTCCCTATTTGAGAGACCTTGGGCATAGCTGCAGGTCCTTGGGCACAGCTTTGGGCAGTCTGCCTATTCGAGGGACCATCCATTCTTGTGGTTATGGTTGTGCCCCAAAGAGACTGGAGCTGTGCACTTCAAATAGTTATTATACTGCATTTTATAATTTGCTTTACTCTTGACTGTTGAAAAATATTTATTTGAGAGACAGAGAACTCTGCCATCCCACGGTTCACTCCCCGAATGGCCACAGTGGCCCTTGGGACTTGCGTCAGAAGCCTACTTGGCATCGTGTGTGTTACATCACCTGTCGGTGTGTCTTCTGTATGTGTCTGGGTCCTGGAGAAACCATGAGCTGACATCTCAGGGTAGGGTGGCATGGCAGGTGCAGACACCAGTTAAAATGAAGATGGAGGACTGACCTGGATACACGCACGCCGAAGTGGGGAGGTGGGGTGCTAGTCCTGGGGAGCTGGCAAGGCGGCACAGTTACAGTCAGTCTCCCACTCCATGTCCCCTGGATCCTAGAGGATTGTTTCAGGGTCACGTGTGTGTCCCCCCACACACACATAGCCCCTTGCCTCTGCTAGGAGCGATTCAGAGATGATGCAAGACCAGTGTCCCAGAGAACTGACCAGGAGACAAACTGTGGTGCAGCAAGTTAACCTTCTGCCTTCCACACAATGCCAACATCCCACATGAGCATCAGTTCGAGTCCTGGGTGGTCTGCTTTCAGTCCAGCTCTGTGCTGATGCCTATGGAAAAGCAGCAGAGGATGGGCCAAGTGCTTGGGCTGCTGCACCCAGGACGCAGCTCCTGGCTTTGCCTGGTCCAGCCTTGGCTGTGGCTGACATCTGGGGAGTGCGTGGAAGATAGTTCTCTGTATCTGTCTCTCTCTGTGTCTCTCTCTAACTCACATAACATTTAAACATCTGGAAGTAGCCTTTTAGAAGGGAAGCTTGGAGTCTTGTGCCTGCCAGAAGCTTGGAACTCAAGCCAGGTCTCCGTCGCCTGGGTGTAGGGGCTCAAGCCCTTGGGCCATCTGCCGCTGCTTCTCCCAAGCCATTGATAGGGAACTGGATTGGGAAGTGGAATAGCCAGGAACCGAACCGGTACCGATATAGGATTCCATCGACCTTAGGCCAGCCTTTCCCTGGGATGGATGACGTTTCCTAGGCAACCCAGCGCTTGGCCCACTAGCCTCTCTAGCCCTCAGCCACTCCCCCCCTCCCCCGCCCCCCTTCCTGAGCTGGTGAGCTGACCTGGACATTCCTCACCATGAGTTTCCTGTCCCTCCTCCCCTCAGTAGTCATCTGTTTTTCTCTTGTTTATTTTCCTCTTGGTGCTTTAAATAACCACACAAGAGTGAGCCAGCGCCAGGCAGAAGCGTGGGGGGGGGGGTGCGGGGGGGAGTTGGGGTGGGCCAAATCCCGTACATAGCTGGCTTCGGCAGGAGGATTTTTCCACACTGCAGCCACCTATCCAAGGCCACTCTGAGTCCCAGCTGCCCAGAGACCACCCCACAGAGCTGCAGGCAGGGTCCCAGTGCACACTGGCTGGCGGTGGGAGCCCTGGCAATGGGAGTCCTGGCAATGGTTGTGTGTGTGTGTGTGTATGTGTGTGTGTCACTCCGCTGGTTTGCTCAGGGCAAGCAGGGATATCAGAGGTCATGTGTATGGTTACTGGGGACCCCGGGTCAGGGGAGAGGGATGAGGAGGGGACAGGAGCAAGACAGATCTGACAGTCACGCACAGTTTGTTATTGAGTGTCTCCAAGCTCTCCTCCGGGGGCCACAGGAAACCAACCCTTTGGCAGAAGGAAGCTCGGCTCTAGACGAGTCAGCGCGACACTTGGAATTCCCGTAACCAATGAGCTGCGGAGCTGGGGGGTGGGGGCCGGTTTCCCATACACACTGCCGGAGCTGATGGGAAGCCCCCCAGCCTTGAGCTGTCAGACGGTGGGGCGGGGTTTCCCCGGGCAGTGGGATCAAAAGCAGCAGGCAGCCACAAGCAGGCCACTGTGCTCCTCCTAGCCGTTGGCCTCAGCATGCGAGACTCTGCGTCCATGCCTACACCTGCCACCGCCATGCAGGGCCTCCTTCGGTACTTCCATCCCAGGCGGCCCAGCCGCAGCCTGGCAGCCTTGGCCGAGAAGCACCTGTGTGCTCGAGGTACCACCCTGTGGAGCCACATCTGTGAGCTGGTGCGCAGGGGCAAGGTGGGCCATCGCGTGGGCCACGGGTTCCCTTGGCAGGCTGGGAGGTGTGAGGCTGCTCTGGGCTAGGTGATAGCTCCTGGGGGCGGGGAGGTAGTGCAATTCTCCCTTTGCTTGGGAAGAGGAGGAGGAAGGGCAGCCAGGCCCCAGGATTTGGGGGTTGAGGATCACAGGCCAGCAAATGCCTGCCTCTTATTATCTTGCCATTCCTTGCCTGGGCTGACCAGGGCCAGGAAGGGCCCTGTGTCGGCCTCCTCCTCTACTCATGGTGGGAACCTAGGGCTTGGTCTTTGGTTTATTTATTTGAAAGTTGGAGTTAGAGGGAGAGACAGAGAGCCCTTCCATCTCCTGGTTCACCCCTCACATGGCCGCCGAGGCTGGGCCAGGACGAAAGCAAGAGCTTCTTCCGGGTCTCCCATGTGGGTGCAGGGAACCACACACTTAGGCCATCCTCCACTGCTTTTCCCAGGCACATTAGCAGGGAGCTGGATGGGACTCAAACCAGTACCACCCATATGGGATGACAGATGATGGCTCAACTCACTGGGCCGCAATGCTGGCCCCAGGGGTCACTCTTTGAAAGAAGGACCACTTGGGGGATTTGTATCTGACTGGTCCCTGCTGCTGGATCCTGCTACACGGGGCAAGGAATGGGGTCTCTGTGACCCCCACCACATACACAAGAATCTTATCCACCCAGACACAGGAGGCAGACCTTCTGCCACCCTTTGGTCACTTGTCATTCCTGACTGCACCTGTCAGACCCCATGGGAATGCTAACCAGTGGGACCCTGAGTGGGGAGATGAGAGCTCACCACCCTCTCCACTCCCCAGCCCAGGAGAGTCCAGCAGGTGCATACACCTGTGAGGTGTAGAGAAGCTGCTGTTTCCTAGCTGTGTCACCAGCAGAAAGCCCAGGGGCCTGTGGCCTCTGGCATATTTAGCATTGGTATGCACACGCTCAAGTATGTATGTGTTTGAGTGCATGTATTGTGGCTGTAGTGGCTGGCAGCGGCAGTGGCTTCCCAACCTACCAGCTGGCTTCACGCCAGAATCACATCTGGGAGGTGGGGTCATGGGATCAGTTTTCGGGGTGTTCCTCCTGGCCACCATTCAGGATGTGGGGTCCAGCTCTCCCAGGTAATGTCATTCCTGCAGCCTAGCCGGGGGCCTGCAGGAGGGGAAGCAGGTGTGTGAGCGGGGAAGGATGTGCGCTTTGATTCGTGAGGACCGCAGGGTTTCAGAGATGCATGGACTCTGTGTTCAGAGGACACGAGCTGACAGGTTGGTGTCGTCCAGCCATGCACCTGCTCGAAGTTATAGGAGCTTCCTTCCTGGCCCCTCATTGCCAGCTATGTGCTTTGGTCCTTCTTGGACTGCCCCTAGCCCGTAAGACAGGCCTGGTGGCTCTCCCTGCCACGAAGCCAATCATGGTACAAGGAGAACTGGGACATCCCAGACAGCGGCTCTGGGATGCCGGCTGCTACCCACCATTCCCCTCCCTGCAAACTGGAAGTTGCTATAGAAATTGCTCCCCACCCCTCAGCACCCCCCTGCAAAAAAAAAAAAAAGTCCTTTAAATCAATCACTGACCATCGTGTGGCACCCATGGAGGGGGCAAAGGAGCAAGCCAGGGGGAGAAAGGCTACCCAGCCTGGGCCTCAGCTCCTGTCTGGAAGGGGCGGGAGGCGGAGCGGGTGTAAAGCCCAGTGCAGTCACAGTTACACTGCCTGGGTGAGCTCTGGTCCTAGACAGCCACCGAGCCCTGAGCGTCCAGGGTCCCTTCCTCTCTCTCTCCCTCTCTCTTTTTCTCTCTCCCATTTGTTAAGAACTGGGACCACATTCTTCTGTTACTGTGCATGCTCAGTAGAGCCTCTGCTAACCAGGCACCTCTGCTTGCAGCTGGACCCCCAGGCCCTACAGGACAGGGAGTGGCAGCGGACAGTCATCTCCATGAATGGGGTGAGTCTCTGCGGGGCACTCCTCACAGGGAGTTAGGGAAGGGCCCAGGTCTTGCAATGGAGCGCCAAGGGGGAGGCTAAGCCTGAGCTGGCGGGAGATGGGGAGCCCCCTACCATCAGCCCAGTCACCCCAGGCACAGGTAGGGAGCGCTGTGCAGGGCAGTCAATGGCCAGACCCTGATGGGGCCCCTGGGGTGTCCTCCTGGCTAGGCTTTGTGTACCCCAGAAAGCTTCAGCCACACACACACACACCTCGGCATGGTGAGAGACCACTAACACACACATGCGCACTAAAACCTTGACAGGATGAAAATATGCTAACACCCCCCACCCCAGTCGTCCCTGGCTCTTGCTTATGTTTATCTGTGCATGTCGCCTTTAAAGACGAGAGGTGTAATGTGGGTGACAGGAGGGGGCTCCTGGAGAAGCAGACCCCCAAACCGTCCTGAACTTGTCTTACTTTGGCCCAGCCTCACACACTGGGCCCCCAGCCTGCTTACTTCTGGCCGGGTAGTGTGTGTGAGGGGCATGGAATTTGCCAAGGCTCTCCCCACCTCCCCAAGGTTCCCCTCCCCCCCCACCCACACGCCAGGACCTCAGGCCTTGAGGAGCAGAGGGTGAAAAGGCTCTACCACCTCCTCTTCCCCACTGCAGGTTGAGGTGAAGCTCTCAGTCAAGTTCACCAGCAGGGAATTCAGCTTGAAGCGGATGCCATCCCGGAAACAGACGGGGGTCTTTGGGGTCAAGATCGCCGTGGTCACCAAGTGAGTGTGACAAGGAGGGGAGACTGGGGTGCATGCCAGTAGTGTCCCTGCAGACAGGAGCCAGGGAGGCTGTAGCTCTCCCTGCTGGGTGTGGCCCCTGGGCCCCCCTCACTGCGTGTTGGCCAGCTCAGGAATGTCCTCCCTCAGGAGCTTGACGCCAGCCCCGATCCATGTCCCTTTTTGTCAGCTGCCAGAACGCCTTGTGGGCACAGGCCACTTCCTCCCACAGTTCCTTCCCTTCCGCTCTGCCGGGATGAGGTCCGGCCAGGCCCTTGACCTCACTGGTCATCTAGATCAGGACCCAGGGTCAGCCATTTCCTGCATACCAGCTTGGGTCCAGACACCCTCCTCGCTGTCCTCCACACTGCGCCCTGCAGAAGGCACCCCAAGCTGAGCCACCTCCACTGCTCCCCTATAGCTGACCGTACCTCCTACCCCCACACCTGGCCCTGCAGAGGGCACCCCAAGCTGAGCCACCTCCACTGCTCCCCTATAGCTGACCGTACCCCCTACCCCCACACCCGGCCCCGCAGAGGGCACCCCAAGCTGAGCCACCTCCACTGCTCCCCTACAGCCACCTGTACTCCCAGTCCCTCACCCCGGGAGCTAAGGATGTTCCCTGCTTCCGCCTCCTTGCAGGAGGGAGAGGTCCAAGGTGCCCTACATTGTGCGCCAGTGCGTGGAGGAGATTGAGCGGCGGGGCATGGAGGAGGTGGGCATCTACCGCGTGTCCGGAGTGGCCACCGACATCCAGGCGCTGAAGGCGGCCTTTGACGTCAGTGAGTGCCAGCCCCGGGAGGTGGGGATGAGGTGGGGTGGGATGGGTGGAGGGGGGCAGCCGCATGGCTGTGCCCACCGCCCCACCCTGCCCCAGGATGCTGTCTGGGTCCCCTAGCACCACACACCCGCATCCACCCCTACCCCATTGTGGTTCTGCCCTCTCTCCCAAGATGGGGTGAGTGTTGGCCCACATCCCATGGGACCCGGGGGCTGTGTCTGAGTCCCACTAATGCCCCCACCCCCCACCCCTGCCAGCTTGCTGGTGATGCTGCCCCAGGGAGGGGGGCCTAAGTGTTGGGTTCGTGCCACCCACGTGAGAAAGTCATAGGCCTTCCTGGCTCCTCCAGCTATCTGACTCAGTCTGTAGAGGGTACTTGGGAAGTAACCCCCCCACCAAATAAGAAATAACAAGATGGATATATTTGAGAGGCAGAGTGACAGAGAGGCTTGTCTGATTTGCTGGTTCACGTTACAAAATCCCGCCTGTGGCCAGGGCTGGCCCAAACAGATGCCAGGAGCCTGCAGCTCCTTCTGGTTCTCCCACATGGGCGGCAGGGGCCCAGGTTCTTGGGCTGTCTTCCTCTGCCCTCCTAGGTGCCTTAGCAGGGAGCTGGGTGAGAAGCGGAGCAGCCATGACTCAAATCATAACAGCAGTACCATACATTAATTTAAAAAAAAGAGAGAGAGAGAGAGAGAGCCCAGCATGGAGCATGGTAGCCTAGTGGCTAAAGTCCTCACCTTGCATGCGCTGGGATCCCATATGGATGCTGGCTCTAATCCTGGTAGCCCCACTCCTCATCCAGCTCCCTGCCTGTGGCCTGGGAAAGCAGTCGAGGACAACCCAAAGCTTTAGGACCCTGCACCTGCATGGGAGACCTGGAAGAGGCTCCAGGCTCCTGGCTCTGGATCAGCGCAGCACTGGTTGTTGTAGTCACTTGGGGAGTGAATCATCGGACGGAAGATCTTCCTCTCTGTGTCTCCTCCTCTCTGTATATCTGACTTTCAATAAAGATAAAATAAACCTTAAAAAAAAAAAAGAAACATGGGGCTTGGGGCTCCCGTGGGTCTGCAGTCCGCCTGACCAGGGAGTGAGTGGACAAGGGGAGCCGCAGCCGTCCAAGGCTCGACCTCTGCCCTCACTGCTCACGCCGTCTCTCCCCAGATAACAAGGACGTGTCGGTGATGATGAGCCAGATGGACGTGAACGCCATCGCCGGCACGCTCAAGCTCTACTTCCGGGAGCTGCCAGAGCCACTCTTCACAGACGAGTTCTACCCCAACTTCGCCGAGGGCATCGGTGAGTCCCCTGAGGCCTGGGCCCAGTGGGAGGGGGTGTTTCAAGCCTGACCTCAGATCCCTGTGTGCCAGGAGACAGAACCAAGCCCACTTCGGGCATGAAGTTTCTGTCCTTTCAGTAAAGCCCAGGGAAGTAGCCAGTTACTGCCGTGGAAGCTGGGAGATGAGGTGCCCTGCTGTAGATCAGCAGGTGGGGTGCCCTTGGTAGACCAGTAGTTGGGTTGTTTGGGTAAACCAATGAGCTAGTTCTCAGATTCCTAAGTGGGATATCCTTGGTGTAGTCCAAGAGGCTGGTGCCCTGGCCCCTTCTCACCCCAAAGTCCTGGCAAAAGCCTGATTCGGTTAAGCCCAGCCCGTCTGAATGGGGGTGCATTCGTGTCCCAAGCAGCTGCGGCCTCCACCTCCCCTTGGACGAGACCCCGCGTTGGGTCCCAGCTTGTACGGGCTCCCAGGATGCACAGTGCCATGGGGATGGGTTCCTCGTCTTCTACCTGCCTGCTTCCTTCACACCCGGCTTCTCAGAAGAGGGGTGAAGAGGGAGGTGGTCGCGGGGGGCAGCAGGAGTTTGTGACAGAGCAGGGGCAGCTCTGGCTGTCAGCACCCCTGGAAGTCACCAGCACCCCTCTCTTCCTGCAGCCCTTTCCGACCCCGTGGCGAAGGAGAGCTGCATGCTCAACTTGCTGCTGTCCCTCCCGGAGGCCAACCTGCTAACCTTCCTCTTCCTCCTGGACCACCTCAAGAGGTAACCGCAGCTCCACCCCAGCGCCCCCCTTCTCCCCTTGGCACCCCTGGGCCCGCACTCACCTGCCCTCAGCCTCAAGCAGAAGACACGGGGTTTTTCAACCTTGGCCTCCTCGGCCAGCAGCGTGCTTACGTTCCCTCGTATCCCCCAGGTCATAGCCAGAGCTGCCCCTGTTGCCACTGGCCCGGAGAGGTCTCTATCCTGGACCCTCAGACCTCACCCATCCCACCCTGAGGACCCCCTAGCAGCATCCCCGCCCCACCTCCTGCCCCTGTCCCCGAGGGAGGGCGTTGGTGTAACAACACCCTCTGCTCCGGCCATCCCCAGGGTGGCAGAAAAGGAGACAGTGAATAAGATGTCCCTGCACAACCTGGCCACCGTCTTCGGCCCCACGCTGCTGCGGCCCTCGGAGAAGGAGAGCAAGCTCCCTGCCAACCCTGGCCAGCCCATCGCCATGACCGACAGCTGGTCCCTGGAGGTCATGTCCCAGGTATGTAGTGGAGAGGGAGAGACACAGACCCCGCCGCCCGTGCCATGGGTGGTGCCCACCCACCGGCGTGGGATGAGGTTGGCGAGCGGGGGACTCAGCTGCTGCTGCTGCTGTGCAAGCTGCACCTTGCAGTTGGAGGGTGGGTACAGGGGTGGGCTTCTCCGCCTTCAGCCCCCACCTGCTGGTCCTGCAGGGACTTGAACCCCTTCCTCCTCTGTCGACGGCAGGTCCAGGTGCTGCTGTACTTCCTGCAGCTGGAGGCCATCCCCGCCCCAGACAGCAAGAGGCAGAGCATTCTGTTCTCCACCGAGGTCTAAAGGCGGCCCCCCACCAGAACTGTCTCCAAGGAGAAGCTGATAGAAGGGCCACCCCATGGCGAAACGGGCCGTCCATGGAACAGGAACCGAACCATCTTGAGGTGTACTTTGGCCACCTGCCAAGAGTGACACTCACCCGAAGCTGAAGGCCAAGCCAGCTAGGTGGTCCCCCCCCCATGCCCCAACCCTAGGCAGACTCCACCCCGACGCTCCCTGGTGCCTTGGTGGTTGGTGGCTGGCTGCAAGCCTTGGGCTGGCCTCAGACTGTGCTTTCCCGTTGCTGGCACCAGAGGGCGCCCCAAGCACGCACAGCTGTCCCGGGCCCAGGAACCGGACAAGTGGAAGCCAAGCTATAAGGAAGTGGTTTTTACAATCTGAATTGTTCAGAGTTTGAAGATTTCTACTGGATCACCTGTCAAGATGCACGCTGTCCGGGGAGGAGCTTCCCTCACTGTTGTGTCTTGAATAAACGCTGCTGCTACTGCTGCACCCGTCGGGGATCACGGCAGAAGGGACTGGGCTGGGTCAGGTGGCCCTGCTTTGGGAACGGATGCCCATCCCATCCCCTACTCCCCGAGGAAAAGTCCACAGCGCCCCAACTCCACCCACTGCTTGCTTCTCCTTTTCTTTGTAAAAGGAGCTCTCTGTGCTGAAATGGGTCTGCCTCCTGCTCTCTCTCCCATGGATTTGGTTTGCTGTTGGATTTTTATCTCTTTTTTTTGTTTGTTTTTGGCTTGGTTTTGTGCCCCCCTCCCGCAGCTGGGCTGCCATGGAGACCATGGCACACACTTCACGGTGAGCCCTTTGGGGACAGGACAGGACGGTCCACCCAGTCCTGCCCACCCACCTGGCACCCCACTTGCCCGCTCTTCTTTGTCAGAGCCCTGCCCCGTGCCCTCCGTCCCCCTCATCACCCCAGTACTCGGCCCAGCGGGCACAGTTTAACTGCCACACAGGTCTTCTCTCCACAGCGGCTGCTTTTAAACACTTTGATCCGAAGAATTAGCCTTTTTGATACTTGAACATTTTGAAGTTTTATACATAGTTTCTGAGTTTTTTGTTTTCCCTACCAGATCCCAATACCTTAATAAGATGCTATTTAGAATGTCTGCCACCCGTGTCCTGGTAGCTCTTCTGCCTTTCCTAGAACCTTAGAGTGTGTGGGAAGGGGCTTCCCCACGCCCACCGCCCCCTAGTCCAGAGCAGGGACACAGAACAGCGCGGGGGGTGGGTACAGAACAGGAGCCCTGTGACCACTGGAGAGAAGAGAACCAACCAGAAAGTTCTCTGGTATTTGAGTGTTTTGAAACAAGAGAGGCCTGGCTCCCTGACCAGTCTTCCCGCACTTCGCCCTCCCCCAGTGGGGAGGGACACACAGGAACCCCAGGAGGGCAGCAGGCGGGGGACACTCAGGGTCGTGTGCAGCCACGGTCACAGGGAAACCCCGTGTGCAGGGCAGGGACACCATCCCATCCGCCATGCTTCCACAGGCAGCACCCTGGGGAGCCATGTGCCTCCCTCACCCTCGCACCATCCCTGCTATCAGAAGCCTTATAGGGTGTGTGTTGGGGGAAGGCAGAGGGCCCCCAACAGCAGCACGGGAGGGTCCCGCTTGTGCAGGTGGCATGGATCGCTCAGCTGCGCTTTGAGTTCACCGCAAACCGTGCAGCGCCTTGCTGGCCAGGGCAGAGCAAGGCAGGGCATGGGAGCCTGTGTCCTCGGCACGCCAGCCTGGCTGTCCAGTTACACGGCAGCCAGGCCTGGGGCCTGTCCGTCCCTTCCCACACCCCACCCCACCTTTCGCCATCTGCCTTTTGTCGCCTGGAAACTGGAAAGCAATATGGCCACATGTGTGCCAACGTGGGTAGCCTCACCCGCGCCCCCCTCCTCTGCCACTCCCCCTTGAGACTTTTTAATTTATAGAAGATACATGTGTGCTGTCAAACCTCAAAACAACCCTGCCCTTCTCTCACCAACCACAGGGGTGACCGGCGCTTTGCTTGGCGGGGAAGGGGCAGGCTGCCATGGGTTCCCACCCCCCCCAGGTCGTGCTGCCTGACATGGTCGGTGCCCCTGCAGGCCTGTGGGTTAGCAGAGCTAACACAGCAACTGGGCTGTTACCATAAGGGGGGAGGACCCAGCCTACCCCATGAGAAGTTGGGGATTCCTCACAGCCTTATGAGACAAGGCAGGGGCTCCAGACTCTCCGGTGGGAAGCTACACTCTCAGGTCTGGGCTGCTGGTACCCCATCCTGCTCCCCATACAGAGTGGAGTGATTGGGGAGGGCACTGAGCTGGGCTCCATCTCAGCACCCTGGCCCCCTCCCCTCCCGCAGTGGGTGACTGCCCTTGGAGCCCAGCTGCCTGTGTGTGCCACACAGGGGCAGGGAAGGGGCAGGGAGTACCGCCAACTCTTACATTAAACTTCCCTTTGACAACTCACATCAGTCTTGGTTTCTAGATTCAAAAGGACAACCAGGGCCTGCCGCTGCTGGGGCAGGGGGAGGGTGGGAGGTGGCAGAGCTGGGGAACAGCATAAGGGTCCTGACTCCCCGGAAGGCCTCTCAAGGGCTACCACAAGGGCTGGCTGGGTGGTTGACTGGGTGCTTGCTTGTTAACCCACGGCTGCAGCCAGTGAGGGTCATGACGTCTCTTGGACATGCTGTTCTGACGCTGCAGTTGGGACAGGCGGCTGATGGGCCGATTGGGCTGGCGCCCAGGGCTAGGCAGGGCTCTAGCACTCAGGCAGTTCCAGGCACTGCCCTGGCGTACCTGAGCTGCCCAGGGATGGTGCCTGGACACAGCCGGCATATGGGGTGTCCTGGGCATCCTGGGAGCCTCCAGCCTTGGCCATCAGAGGCCTGCCCAGTTGATTGCTGCAGACCTGGGCAAAGCCTGGGGAAAGCCAGGGCCGGTGTAGTCCCCTGCCAGTCGCTCTACAACTGGACACTAGGTGGCGCTGAGCACACATACCCCATCCCCACAGGAGGGCAAAGAAAACAGGTAATCTGCCACAGGATGGGTGAGCTAAGAGGGTTTGTGGGATTCCCGTGTGGGGTGAGGAGGGGCTTGGTTCGGTGGTCTCCTCCCTGCAGGGGAATAGGCCAGAGCTTTCCCAATGGCTCTCAGAGGGAAGGGTTGCCATCACCCTCACCATCTGAAGATGAGGTGTATCCCAGAAAAAACAGGGCTTACCCCTTTACTGGCTTACTGGGGAACTCTGAGAATGTCCCACCTCATCGGGCGTGAACCTCCAGGCTTTCGCGAAGGTCCCTTGCAGCTGCTAAGGCAGCAGGAGAGGCTCCCAGCCCGCTGGAGGAGCTGTGTGTCCAGGTGCGTTTGGCCCAGCCTCAATGAGTGCAGTCATAGCCCTCCACTGGCGTGACAGCCCAGCTGGTGCTCCCTGCACCTGCCTCCCCAGGCCTGTCTGCAAAATGTATGCACTGACCTTTATGTGTCTTGCTCTTTAAAAAAAAGTGGGGACCAGCATGATGGGGTAGTTAATAAGGCCACCAGTTATAACAAACCATTTTGTGTGAGCATCAGTTTCCAGTCCTGGCTGCTCCATTTCCAACCCAGTTCCCTGCTCATGTGTCTGGGAAAGTGGCCCAAGTGTTGGGAAACTCAGAAAAAACTCCTGGTTCCTGATGCAGGGCGGCTCTTGTGGCCATCTGGGGGTGAACCAGTGGATAGAAGACCTCTCTTGGGCCCGGTGTGGTAGCCTAGTGGCTGAAGTCCTCACTTGTATGCACTGGGATCCCATATGGTGCTGGTTCATGTCCTAGCTGCTCCACTTCCCATGCAGCTCCTTGCTTAAGGCCTGGGAAAGCAGTAGAGCATGGCCCACATGGGAGACCTGGAAGAATCTGCTGGCTCCTGACTTTGAATCAGCCTCCGGCCTTTGCAGCCACTTGGAACCAATGGACAGAAAATCTGTCTGTCCTTCTCTCTGTAAGTCCGATTTTCCAATAAAATAAATAAATCTTAAGGGAAAAAGAGACCTATCTTTGTGTCTCCCTCCGTCTCTTTCTGCCTTTCAAAAAAAGTAAATACTTCTTAAAACTAAAAAAAAAAAAAAAAAAAAAAAAACACCTTTTTTTTCTTAAATGTATTTGAGAAACAGAGATTTTCCATCCATCAGTTCACTCATCAAAAGTCTGCAGGAGCCAAGGCCAAGAGTCTGGAACTCAGTCCGGCTCTCCCACCCGGTGTCAGGGAGCCATGTACTTGAACCCTTGACTCCCAGGGTGTGCATGAGCAAGAAGCTAGAATCGGAAGCAAAGGCTGGACTGGAAACCAGGCTCTTGGCTGCAGAATGAGGGGGCTCCCAAGCAGTGTCACCCCCTTGACCTTGTGCCCCCCTACTTTGTGTCCATTCCAGGGAGCCCAGGACCCTGGCCACTAGCCCTGGCTTGGACATGACAATGGCTTTTGTGTAACTGCTGGTTCAATGCCTCTTCAAACACGGGGCTAAGGGCTGGCATTGTGGTGTGAGCGTAGTCACCACCTGTGACATCAGTATCCCGTAGCAGCATTGGTTCAAGACCAGGCTGCCCCACATCTGAGCCAGCTCCCTGCTGATGCATCTGGGAAAGCAGTAGAGGATGATCCAAAGCCTTGGGCCCCTACACCTGTTTGGGAGACCCAGATGAAGCTCCTGGCTCCTGCCTTCCATGGCCCCTGCAGCTTTTTGGGGAGTGAACCATTGGATGGAAGATCTCTCTCTCTCTGTGTTCCTCTAGAGCCATACCTTTCAAATTCATAAATAAGTCTTTTCTTAAAACAGGGAGAGGGAAGGCAAGATTCTACAGAGACTTTCCTACCCAGCCTTAAGGAAAGCTCAGCTGCCTTAGAAGGAATCGTTCTCACGGGCGAAGGATGCGCTGTCACAGTTGTGGAGAGACACGGAGCACCAGGATGACAGGCACGTTGCTCTTGGAGGAGGTCCGGATGGCTTCCTGTGCAGCAGATGCTGAGGGTCAGAGGGCAGAAGGGAGCTGGAGGGTAGCCCCAAGGGTGGAGAGGGTGGGGCTGGGTGCTAGAAGTTGGACAGGAGTGTGTTTGGGGGGCCAGGAGAGCCACCCAGCAGCCTGTTTCGCCAGGGCCAGGACAAAGACAAGCAGACAGGATGCTGGGAGATCCGATCAGATCTGGTAGGAGGACCAGCTGCCGCGATCACCAGCTGTCGCATGGGCTCAGCCCAGACCCCAGCTCACTTTCCATTCCCTTCCTTTAGGTTTTCAGGTTCTGTCGGTCAAGAGTTGACCCCAGGGGCCTGTGCTGTGGTGTAATAAGTTAAGCTGCTACTTGGGACTCCTACTCCCATTGGGGCACCTATTCCAGTTTTGGCTACTCCACTTCTTATCCAGTTTGCTAATGTGTCTTGGGAGACAGTAAATGACTGCCCAAGTGCTTGGGTCCCTGCCGATCATATGGGAGACCCAGATGGAGTGAATTCCCAGCAGGCTCAGATGCAAGGGGTCAACCCTGGCCCTGGGCAAGCAGAGACTTTATAAGTTCAAAGTCTGGTTCTACCTCCTTGACCACTAAAGCACAAGGGAACTTCAAAAAATTCTCACAGAATTGCAAATGGGATGTATGTATTAGGGATCAGGTTAAGCTGCTGCCTGCAATGCTGGGGCCACCTTCCCATATCAGAGCAAGGGGCCAAGTGTCTGACCCTGCTTCTGATCCAGCTCCCTACCAGTGCACCTGCGAAAGCAGCAGAGGAGGGTTCAAGTCCTTAGGCATGTGTCCCCACGTAGGAGACCTGGAGGAAGCTCCTGGCTCCTGGCTTCTGTCTGGCCCAGTTCTGGCAACTATAGCCACCTGGAGAGTGAACCAGAGGATGGAGGACCTCTCTCTCTGTAACTGACATTTTAACAAATATACATTTTTTAAAGATTTTTTTATTTATTGGAAACTCAGATATACAGAGAAAAGGAGAGACAGAGAGGAAGATCTTCATCCGTTGATTCACTCCCCAAGTGAGCGCAATGGCTGATGCTATGCCGATCTGAAGCCAGGATCCAGGAACTTCTGGTTATCCCACATGGGTGCAGGGTCCCAAGGCTTTGGGCCGTCCTTGACTGCTTTCCCAGTAGAGAGCTGGATGGGAAGTGGAGCTGCTGGGACCAGAACCGGCGCCCATATGGGATCCTAGCACGTTCAAGGCGAGGACTTTAGCTGCTAGACCACACCACCGGGCCTAACAAATAATACATTTTATTTTATTTTTTAAAGATTTATTTTTATTATTTTTTATTGGAAAGGCTGATATACAGAGAGGAGAGACAGAGAGGAAGATCTTCCATCCGATGATTCACTCCCCAAGTGAGCTCAACGGCCGATACTATGCCGGTCCGAAGCCAGGAGCCTCTTCTGAGTCTCCCACGCGAGTGCAGGGTCCCAAAGCTTTGGGCCGTCCTCAACTGCTTTCCCGGGCCACAGGCAGGGAGCTGGAAGGGAAGTAGGGCTGCCGGGATTAGAACCGGCGCCCATATGGGATCCCGGGTGTGCAAGGCGAGGACCTTAACCACTTTTGCCACCACGCTGGGCCCCAAACAATACATTTTAAAGGTTCTAGGTTCTAGAACTTCTAGGACAAGTTCCTGCCTCTCCCACCAGCTCTGGACAGTAACTGACAATCTGTCTACCAGACCAACGGCTCTAAGCACAATGTGGGCCAGGAAAGAGTCCATTACTCCAACTACAGACAAGTCAGCTGCTGTGGGGAAGTTTGGGGATGCGGGGCAAAGTGGGTGAGACGTGCTAGCTTTCAGAAGGTTGGAATGCTGAGTAGAAGGCAAAGGCTGCCTGGGGCCAGAGCCAGGAATGTGAAATAATTTCTTTCATTGCTTTGGCCTGCAGCTGTTGAATACTTCTATTTGTGGTGGTGTTTATATTAGCTTTGAAAGGGAAACACAGAGCGTGAGAGAGAACTCCCATCTGCTGGTTCACCTTCAACCAGGGGCCCAACGTGGTAGAGCCGAAGCCTGGAAAGCAACCCAGGTCTCCCTTTGTAGGTGGCAGGAAGTCCAGGATTGATGGGGGAAGCTGGGATTGCTAGGTGGCACGGGTGGACCTGAGCCTGTGTGAGTGTGTGAAACAGGGCTTGTAGAAAGAAAGAGGGGGGTTCCTGTGGGACGAGGGAGGAAATGTGGAAAGAAGCCTTGGCAGCAGAGCAGCACGCGCTGGCATGAGCCCCAGCCCTCTCCCTGGGGCGGTTCGGTTTGAATCCTGAGGGTGAGGTGCGGTGGGTGAGGCGGGGTGGGGTGGGGTATTGAGTGTGATAACATGAAGTGCTGCTGAAGTCCTGGGAGGAATTGTAGAAATGCTGGGCCCAGAAAAAACCCTCAACAGCACCCCAGGATCAGCAGAAATGAGGGGCGAGGTGAGGGGGACGAAGGAGGGGGTTGTTCTGAAATCTCCAGAAAGTCCAG